CCCTCGCTTCCATTCTCCCTTCAACTAAGAGGCTCCAATAAAGCGTGATTTGCAGAAGAATCCTCGACTCGTGGTCGTCCTTCCCTGCTGGTCAGGGAGTGTGCTGCAACTGGTGCCGAAACCCCGGGATGCTGGGACAAGCTTTGGTACCGAGTGAGGGGCCAAAGAGGATTCAGAGAGACATCAGTGAGTGAGTCTCCCAGGGTCAAGAGGTGCCTCAATGGGTTCCATGCCGACTGACAAGAACCATTAAGGATGATTCAATTGCTCCCCAGCCAATGGAGGAAGGCCATGGTCTGATGGAGGAAGGTCACTGGCTAATAAAGAAACTGGCTTGGCCCATTTTATTGGTTAGAACATAGGTGGGTGGAGTAAACAGAAGAGAATGCTGGGAGGAAGAGGAAGTGAGGTCAGAAGTAATGCAGCTCCTCTCAGAGCCAGATGCCTCAGACAGAGAGGCATGCTCCGCTCTCCGGGGCAGATGCATGCAATGAAGCTCCTCTGACCCAGGATGGACTTAGGCTAGAATCTTCCCGGTAAGTGCACCTTGGGGTGCTTACACAGATGATTAGAAATGGGCTAAATTAATATATGAGAATTAGCCTAGAAGAGGCTGGATAGAAATGGGTCAAGCAGTGTTTAAATGAATACAGTTTGTGTGTTGTTATTTCGGGCATAAGCTAGCCAGGTGGCTGGGGTGCTGGGGACGCAGCCCCGCCGCTCCTATTTCTACAATGGTCCGGTTGAAGATGATGCCGCTGCCATTCCTGATAATGATGGTGATGACAATCCGGATTCGGGCAGAGCAGAGATGGGGAATACTGTCTGCCTTCCCTAAGCCGATTCCTGTTCGCCACATGCCACGGTTTTCCCCCGCTTTTTTTATTACCAACAAGGATTTGGGCCTCCCCATGTTACAGGCTTTTGGTTCAATGGAACCTTTTTAAAATCTGCTAATAATTCTGACCCCTCGCCACCTTTGCAGCCGCGGCTTGCTCCTCATTGCTGGGGGTCTTTTGAGGAGGGAGTAGTCCAGCCCTGGACGGATTGCCAGCCGGCCATGGTGGGCTGGGCGGGGCCTTCTCACTTATTCACATTCTCTCCCGAGCTGCATGGCCCCAGCCCTCAGGTGCATTCTTTTACTTCCGTTTTTTTTTTCTCCGTCAAGATGAAAGAATGACGCCCTATAATAAATGGCTCCTCTGCAGGGTTAATGGCAGTTGCTCTGATCACCCCCCCCTTTTGTGTTACTTCAGGGAGGGCAGGCTGGACAGAGCAACTTTAGTTGTGCTACCTACACCACTAATAAGTGCAAAGTGAGTAATGGTACAATGTTTTTTGCATGCTGCATAGGAGGATGTATAATCTGCTTCTGGCTAATATGCTGCCTCCGAGCTCAGACATCTCGAGATAAAGTTGCGGTTCTACAAGCATTAGCCGCTTTAAAGAATGGTGATTCACCCCAAGTATGGTTACAAAACGTTTGGCAGCTCTGAACACACCTTGCCCTTTGTGCAGCGGATTATTTTTGAACAAAGTACCAAGGAATGTCAGAGAGCCATAGCACCGGTCAGGCACAAGAAATTGGATGCCTGGATAAAGGCTTGTAGAGAGATGGGGGTCCCTTGACTAATGCGGGACTTGCAGCCGCTATCTGTCCTAAAAGGCCAATAGGTTTGTTCCTTGCATAGCCTTTGCACTCTCAGGGAGAAATTCTCCATTGCACTGAGGAAGGTACGCATTTTTACTCTGAGTACTGCCTTTGCACCTCCCAGGAGTTTATTCCATTGCACGGGAGAAGGAGAACCAGGAGTTTTGGGCCTCCTTTGATCGGTCCTCACATTATGAGGTGAGGACCTAAACGGGAGTAAGACCTTCTCACTGGCCTAAAGAGAAAAACAAAAAGGGGGAGCTCTCCATGACTTCATGGTACCTGTCCCTTATTCCCAAGAGGTCTGTAGTGCTGTTACATCATAAACTTGGTGCTGCACAAGGCATTCTCTTTGATTTCTTTTTTAGCAAAGGTGTTAAACGATTTGTCTCTTTCTCCTAATGGAAAAACTAGCTGTTCATACCTGGAAATAAACGCTTTTGGAGGTCGACTTTATGCTCCAGTCCTTTCTTAGAATACACTGGTCTGCAGTGTGGAGGGCTGTCTGAGAGACTCAGCTGACACTCAAAATCTTCACACAGGTTACCGAGGGAAGATGACTGATTGGAAGCTGTCTCTGTGTGACACAGTGAATGAAACCCATCAGAATAACAAAGCACAGGCTCTATTCCAAAGGGGAAGAATTGGAAGAAGAATAGAACCACACAGAAGGGAAGCTGAAGCTTAATCCAGAAGGTAATAAACAACCCTGGTGAAGAGACCACTAGTCCCAACCACATGACAAAATCAGAATCCTCAAAAGCTACAAGTCCAAAGGATGGTTCTGGGGAGGCAGTGACTCCTCTGACATCGTGGGTAAACAGTGGAGAGGAGGCCCACTTTGTCACTTCACTGGGTGCTAGCTGGGTAGAGAACCCACTGCTTAGCACTGAACTACTCTGGGGTCCTGATAACAAGAAACAATCTCAGATAAGTGATCCTGGTGCTGGCCTGCCACAGTTCCGGGGTAGGAGACAGCTGTGGAAGGTAAGCATGGGGCATTAAAGGCCTGGGCACTGACATGCTAAAAAGTTCAGGAAGTAGGAGGCTGGACTCAGAAAAGGAAGCCTGGGACTGGAGGGACGGCTCAGAGGTCAAGAGCACAAGCTGGAAGGCAGAGGCAGGCAAATCTTTGTGAGTTTGAGGTCAGCCAGATCTACAGAGCAGGTTCCAAGACAGCCAGGGCTGTTGCACAGAGAAACCCTGTCTCGAAAAAGAAAAAGAAAAAGAAAAAGAAAAAAAAAGAAATAATAATCTCTTGTTTCTCATTACCAAAATTAAATATAACTATAAACCACCAGCAAGAAAATCTATAAAACTTTATAAACACACGGAGATTAAACAATAAATACCAGCATGTCATTGATGAAACCAGTGTAATGGTCTGCTCTGTCCCTTTAAGAGACAAGCCATGCCCACTCACTCCCCATACCCCCATTTGCCAATGCAAGCTGATCTTCAGCTTCCAGCCTGAGTTATTTCCTCTCT